TACTATGACACCCAGCCCTTACCTTGTTTGAGGGTGGCTTTAACCTCCTACCCCGGTAGGTGCTGCCCCCCGAGGACCCATTACCCCCACTGCGGGTCCTCTGTCTGGGGGGTTTCCGAGGGGTGGTGTGGGGGGACCCCCCCTCCAGCATGCTGGGGTCGACCACAGGGAGGGTGTAGGGGGAGACCCCCCCTCCCAGGTCCATGTTCCCCATGTTGTTGGTGAAGGTTCGTAGGGCCGCTGGGTCCACCTGTAACAACAAACAAATAGACTTTGTCTGAGAAACATACTGAACTTTTATATCAGTCTCCTATACGTACACAAACAAATAGACTTTGTTGGTGGAACGCATTGAACTTTTGACACCAGTCATCTGTATCAACACAAACAAATAGACTTTGTCTGGGGAACATACTGAACTTTTATATCAGTCTCCTATACCAACACAAACAAGTAGACTTTGTCTGGGAACACATTGAACTTTTGATATCAGTCTCCTATACAAACACAAACATATAGACTTTGTCTGGGGAACACACTGAATAAATGCCTAAGCAATTTTTCCCTTTCCCTGATTTAGGCTTACAAACAAAGAAAATAATTATAAAAATCCATTCACATTTTGAGCTACCCTATCCAGCAATGAATTAATTACCAAACAATTTAGCAAATACAACATTTGACAAAAACAATTGAGATTAATTAGTGAAGAGCCCAACCTGGTAGAGATAGTGTGAGTCCACGCTTTCCCGCGGTTCCTCCGCTCGCCGAGCCTGCGGTGGTAACAACGGCATCCCATCCTCGTCAAAATACACCGGCTGTACGCGAGACAAAAACAACAACAATTTAAGTTTGAAGCCTCAGCAACAGTATGCAAGCATGGTGCTATTCATCACTAATGAACTATGTTTGTGTGTGTGTGTGTGTGTGTGTGTGTGTGTGTGTGTGGATGGTGTTCAGCACCAAGGACAGGAAGAATTGCCAGTGTGGGTGGCATTCAGCACCAAGGACAGGTGTGTTTGCGTGTGGATGGTGTTCAGCACCAAGGACAGGCATGTTTACCTGTGTGTGGATGGTGTTCAGTACCAAGGACAGGTATGTTTGCCTGTGTGTGGATGGTGTTCAGCACCAAGGACAGGTATGTTTGTGTGTGGATGGTGTTCAGCACCAAGGACAGACATGTTTGCCTGTGTATGGATGGTGTTCAGCACCAAGGACAGGTATGTCTGTGTGTGGATGGTGTTCAGCACCAAGGACATGCATGTTTGCATGTTGATGGTGTTCAGCACCAAGGACAGGCATGTTTACCTGTGTGTGATGGTGTTCAGCACCAAGGACAGGAAAACTTACCAATTTGTGGATGATGTTTAGCACCAGGGAATAATCATCTTTTTTTTCAGAAAAGTCTATACTATAGATGTTGTCTTTAACCTCGTCCCTGCTGAAGTACCTCTTTGGTACCAAATATGTATTTTTTAAAAGATTAGACAACAGGAAGAAAGTTAAAATCATTTTTTTTTGTGTAAGACCTACCGGTCCATCTTGTTTCCTTCTGCGATGTCCCTTAGGGAACTGTGGTGCAGTTTTGGGCCGTGTGCCGTTGGAGTAGAGGCGGGGGTTGGGGTAGTCCTCTGCGGAGTGAGGTCGCGACCCCCGCGGGGAGAGGTACGGGATGATGTCCTCGTCACCACGACGACCACGCTCCGTCTGCGTACGGGAAAACAACACAAGTTTACACAAATGACACATTTTTTTTCAAAAAGTTTTCTGTTGTACACAAATGTACAGGAATCATGACAACTAACATCAAGAAAGCATTACTCAATCCTCAAGCTGAGTCCCATTTGTAATCTTTTTTCAAAATATGTCAGCAGAACAGCTAAACGACCAGTCATGTAGTATCTAAGCATAACTGGAAGACAATATATAACATAGCTTATTGCTGCTGGTGTATTTTTGGGAATTGACACTTCAGCAGATATTTCGTAACTTGCAGTAAAATATGTTACAAATTGTCACACTAATCAATTTTTAAAAATCCACAAATGAAATGTACATTTTTTGGAGCAAACATGCTCTTCTGATTGACATGTAAGTTTTTAAAAACTGATTTTCTAATTCTAGGACTCTTTCGAAGTTATCACTTTTAAATCACCATTTTCCTTACCCTGATTCTCTGGACGCGCTCGATCTTAGAAATCTCCTCCAGCTTCTTCTTGATCTCCACCTGCCGCGCCCTCTGTAACCATAGCAACCACACATCAGCTGACCATCCACCAATCAGAGCAAACAACACAAATTTCAGTATCAACAGATGAAGTAGTGCATTGTGGGATTTTGTAAGTTTTAGGTTTTGAGAGTTTTCAAAACCAGAACATGACTTTACATACTATGCATCAACTTAACTTTTCATTATCAAAATAACATTTAATTTTTTTTTTTTTTTTAGCATTTGTGTGTTCAAGTGTACTTTGTCCCTGACTTTTAACCTCAAAGCCAGTCCTCATTTTTGGCACAGAATTGAATGTGTCCATGCAATACGTTCACACCCTTTAGTGTAATTTTCCAAGTAAAATAATTCTAAACAATTAATATATGAATTTTATCTACATCAATTATTTGACAGGTCAATAAAATGTTTGAAGCCAGACGGACAACTACAAGTAAATGTGAAATCATAACAAAGTCATTATGTTCCATTTACACACTACAGAATACGCCAGGCTATTCAGGACTCTACTGTGTTAGTTACAATATGGCATCCATCCAACCAGAAACCAGCTGAACTAAAAACCCATTCAAAAATCAATTCCACACAAGCACTCTACAACAACCCTTCAACCTCAAGAACTGCAAAACACTCAAACAACTTCCTTCACCTTCATTTGGTGTTGTGTATTATTTCACCCCCATTTCCCTACAAAGTGGAACACTCTGGCACACATTTCAGTACTAAGGGCAAGTCCACTTTTCAAAGGATAAGGGGTGGTGAACCAAATTTCACCCCCATTTCATGACAATTTGGAACACTCTGCCACACAATTCAGTACTAAGGACAAGTCCACTTTTCAAAGGAGGGGTGGTACGAACCTCCATGTCCAGAGTCTTGTGTACGATGGCTTGTGCCAGAAGTTCACGGACGTGTCGCTTGTGTTCCCTCCGCGCCATGTTCAGTCGGTACGTTTGTTCCGTGATGATTTCTCCCTGACGGTTCACCTGATTGGATCAAACAGTCACAAGTTAAAGCTTTCAGCCAATGACTAAAGGTGTTACAAAGTAGAGAGTCGTGACTTTTTTTAAACATAAGGAAATGCGGACTTAATTATCTTTTGAATATATGTTAGAATAAAAGACAATAGTGACAAAACAGTGACATAATATGCAGATTTTAATCATATAAAGATAGTTTGGCTGAAAATTTTGGTGACTTTTATTTCCTTTATTTTTCTTATTCGTATGATATCAAGTGTCATTTCTTCAGTTCTTACAAAGTGTTCTACATTTCACCTTGAACATGTTTTTTGTCCCAGTTACAGTAAATAGACTCGTAGCTAGATGCTTATGTATGTACAATGCAGCAACTACCTTTACAATGTTTACCTATGGCGGGTTCATGGATCCAGTATACTGCTAAGGTACAAACCAAACACCCCAACAACTCTGGAATTTCTTGACTTTTGTCCACCTCTTTTAAGAATTAAGTCATAGAAATTTGAACTGATTTCTTCAAATAGTATAACTGATTGCTTTTAAACTTCTTCACAAATACAATCTCAAACTGCTATGATCACATATCAAATTTGTTAAGAAGTAAAAACTGAACTACTGGTACATCATTTGTAGTGTACACAATGTAAGTAGTAGTCCCATGGCCTTTTTGAGGCATGGTATTGGAAGGCAGAGCCCATCCCTCTCCTTCCACTGCCTTTTACCTCACCAACCAAAGTTAGGTCCCCATTCTACACCTGGGTGGAGTAAGGAAAGTCGTGTAAAGTGCCTTTCCCAACGACCCAGACATCTCGGGAATCAAACCCATGACTTCTCAATCTCGTGTCTGCTAGCCTAGCCAATCGGTCATTTGACGCCACTAATAACTATTATTGCATGATTCGATGTGTGTATACATGTAGATTATGACTCAGAGTAAACCCATAACATTGTATGCTTTTAACGGATCTATTTGACTAAAGCCAGTTTTAGCTTTGTTGTGGTAATGATATTAGTTGCCATGGCAACATAATCCCAAAGTGGCACCGTGTTTTTTCATCATAATCCTAGACACACCCCTTAAGGAACATGAATGCTACCTAGGTGGGATGAGCAGCAACCTTAAGTGTCTTTCAGTGTACATAGGCATGCACTAATGTCAGATTAACCTAGTTAGGAAGAACCTGATGTGTGTAGACTGTCTCTTTTGTGAATAACATTAAAACCCTCATGTTGTCATGATTCTAAATACGCCTTTCTGTTCCAAATTACCCCAGATTTCTGACCCACAAAACTGCATCAAGTGATACTTGTTTCTTCATCATTCTGTACTATCAATAAGTGTTCAAAAATTTCTCATATTATTTCTACAGTTAAACACTAATAAAATAAATGCAGCTTATGGCCACTTTTACAGACTGGTAAATGCTTCACATAATATTTACCTTACCTTAATTTGCCTTACTGAATAGCCTAGCAACAAAACTAGACCAGTTTACTGATTATACAAAACAAACACAGGATGACATCTACTACCCTTTACCAAAATACTAGTAACTGTTACTCAAGCAATTGGATCAATTTTTGAAAATAGCCAGAGTCTGCAAGTAGCATCCAATACCTAAATTGACTGACACATTTGACGATACATGGCGCAAACAATATGTTATTCTTTCATTATCCCGTCTGTACAACTCCTCAAACAACATTATCCAATCTGTTCTAAAATTGGATGTAATATTCCGCAACAGATTCTTCCGCAATATGTGGGCCCGTCTGTACATGTACTTATAGACATATCTTTACTATTGTTAGTATCACAGTGTATTTTCATCTGTATGTTTTATATGGGTGAGTCATGCCTGAAATAAAGAAGAAAGATTGTCTGACCATTTTCCAAATATATCCTGGAGTTCAAAGTAACCTTACTTACCAAGCCCGACTTTTTGAGATGTTTCCGCATGCGTGTATTGTTGAAGTACCCAGTCAAATGGGGATCCTGTAGACTGTTATAGGCCGCCAGAGGCCTGGAATATAAAATGTCATATCCTCAATTTTATGAAAAAAAAAACAGACACATACATGTACATTGTATGAAAAGCAATTAAATTTTAAAGAAATGGCTGCTAAAGGAAGTCTGCAATAATTGATAAGGTTTCTGCTCATAAAATGAGGACCTTGACTGCAGAAAGCCAATTCACATATCTGCTGAAAAATCTTTAAGTAGAGGCCTGGAAAATAACATGCCATATCCTATAATGTTATAAAAAAAAGACACAGGAACAGGCAATTAAATTTTAAAGACATCTCAGCCAAAAAAAGGTTTGCAATATTTAATTGCATCTGCTCATAATATCAGGGCATTGACTCCAGTAGCCAATATTATAACATGTATACATTTTCTGAAAAATCTTTAAGCAAAAATCAGAGTGATATTACATGTACTTTCATCAAAATCAATATCTGGTATATGGTATGCTCAACAGTATTGACTGATTGTGGGCATACTATAGAAGACCTAAATGCCTTTGAATTCATGCCAATTAGATGATATACAATTTGAGATTATAAAAAAGACTCAAGTAGAATTTTAAACTGTACATTTTGGATAATATAATATTATACACTTTCTGGTAAATACAATTTTTAAAAATTGAATAGTTACAAATATTAGATAATGTACACTGGAGATCATAAAGAACACTCAAGTAGGAAATTTTGGATAATACAAAATACAAACATTATCCAGCCAAAGGCCAGAACATTACAGACTATTATTAGAACAATCATAGTATGATAAATTATTATTAAAAATTTCATGCCTAGATGAATAAGAAATTGTAGACACCTACATGTATTGTTGTCATGGCACCATCACATATGGTATATTTGCAGTATTAAGGCTCAAAGAACTATATCATACAGAAACGTATGATTTCAAATCATCTCTTGTTCTTGGTCCTTTGTTCAACACATTTTCATATATCTCCTATAACAATACCTCTCTAGAACAGACACAGTGACCTTTTTACAAAAATTGATCGATTATGTTCATGAATTAGTAAAAGGCCCATTGTCTGTTAGTCACGAAAATGACAAAGCCTTCTGACGCGTCCAATTTTCTTACGTGGCGTTGTGCTCAATAAATAGGACACAATGTAACATGGCAGGCTTGCATGCACAACCTAATGGTCCCACTTAAAGTGATGATTACGAATGATTAGGAAGGAAATTCTACCTGACCAAGCAAAAAATAACATAGAAGTGTGTGAATTTTTCTGTAGAGTAGGATTATCAGTTTAATGAAATAATTGATTAAAAAAAATATTGCGTAGCTGTTTTATTTTTCCATAATACAAGCGACTGCAGGTTAATGTTGGGTGATTTGGCTACTGATAACAAAAACAGCGATTGTTGGTATTTAATGATTCTCATTTTGGACTTATTCTAAATACTAATATCTAAAAAAAAATTACGACCTGCACACAACGTTCAAATGTATGCCATGTTGTCAAATACAAGTAGAAAAGACTAGCATTTAAAGAGATTTGGAACTTAATAATATCAATTTATATCATGATACTCTACAAGCAGAGGTTTCAAGGCTTCAGCTTATTTTTTTACATGTTCTAGGAATATTTATCAGTTTTTCTTTTTGTACTGTTACCATATTTACACCAGCCCAACTTCAGGTAGCAAATGATAGCTGTCTGTTAATTGGTAACTGTCTGGCAAATCAAGGATATTATACAAAATGTCTTTGGGCAAATGAATACTTTCTGGCCAATTTGATACTGTAACAGTCTTTGCAGCCACCAAAAGACCTGTTTGGAGATTAATATCATGATAATGATCAATTCATGAATTTGAAAAGCCTTCCAAGAAACCAATGACCGAATAGCCCCAAAGCAATTGTCTCGTCTGTATTTTGTAAATGTTAATATTAATATAGACTGATGTATATTAACAATGTACATTATAGACAATTTAAAGAAACTGTAACAATGTTTTTCTACGTAAGAAATATAACGTTATTCATAATATCTAATATTTGGTGAAAATTTGCAAATGCTGCAAAAGTTACCTTGCAAAGGACCTTTTGAATAATAATTTCGTAAATCATATGCAATAAATTTTGCACGGAAGCGTGATAACTATGAACATTGATGAATATGAACATGCTAAATTTAATATGCAGGAAGTAATGCATGGATAATGTTACGATCATTTCTATAATAAAATTTAATATTTCTAAAAAAATACAACCTTTGCACAACAAATTAATTACCCTAAGTTTCTAAACTGTATAGATATGACCCTGGTATATAATATGTATCAATATCAAAATCATAGACGACAAAACAATACGCGTGTCCTAAAAACACATAGACCTTCACGTATCAAACATGGTGTCTTATAAAATTCCTGCGTTGAAAAATAAGACTTAATCTTACCCTGGCTCTGCGTGGCTCATTTTGGCGCCTTTCTTGGCTCTTTCTTGAGATTCCAAGTCCTGATACTACTGTTAGATAAGTCCCAAGTTGTCAGGAATTCCCACCGGTGGAATGTGGGAGTATTTGGCGTTTTTTGGCCCGATGTTTGCCCTTTCCAAGCTGGTTACCGTCAATATAGAGCGAGAAATACTGGGTTGTTATGTGCGTCACGTGATGTAAATAACAACCCCACCGCAGCCAAACAACAAACCACCGTACCTCAAAACCTCAACATTTTACACATTTTCACACAAAACTAGACCTTAATTTTACCAATTCTTAATTATAAATGTACTAAAATTTGGATTTTTTTTAGAAATTTATCGGTTATAAAAGGAGAGACTGTGTGATTGGTTGGTTGCGTGAATTTGCGGTTGGATGATAATTACGTCAATTATCACTAAGGTCAAAGGTCGGCTCTAGGTGCGCGTCACAGCTGCAGCTGGTTTCCAGGTAACTTTTGTCACTTTGTAGGACTTTTTTCTCCGGTTTTAGAGCCTAAACTACAGATTTCTTAGGTTTAGGAATGATATAGACGTTTTTGTAGTCACCTAGAATGTATAGAAGCGTCCGTGAGGAGAAGAAAATGTAGGATTTTGGTTGAAAAATGCAACAGGTGGCTTTAGATTAACAAGGTTTACTGAACTAATTTTGTACTTGATCACTTTCTACGATTTCTATCACAAGTTTTAGAACCTTAACTACAGATTTCTTAGGTCTAGGAATGATTTTTGTAGTCTGCTAGGGTGTATAAAACTAAAAGTGTCTATGAGGATGAGAAAATGTAGAATTTTTGTTGGAAAATGCAACAAGTGGTTTTGAGATAACAAGGTTTACAGAACTAATAATAACATTTGTCTTAGTAACAAAGGACAATACCTTTGTATGTTGAATATCTTATATAACGAGCAGAATATGATCATGATTTATCATAGTATTTTAATTGCACATACTCAACTGAACAAAATTTTTATAAAGCCAGTACTAATAAGTACTAATAAGTCTAATACTCAAAACACCTGTTACTTTTTCGAAGGTGACAGATATATATAACGTTATAATTTCATTTTGTGTTGAAATTTCAGGTTTTGCCACCATGCCTCCTAAGAAGAAAGGAAAGGGGAAGGGTAAAGGGAAAGGAAAGAAGGGGAAAAAGGGAAAGAAAGAGAAGGACCCTGATGCAGCCGAGGAGAAGTTTAAAAGAGCTCAACATGAGGTAAACTTTGATATCTGTTGAAAGTAAAAGCAAGGATTTTAAGCTCCTTTGTAAAAGTAACAGTTTGAATCATGTAACCACTTACAATGCCTCAGTCACATCTCCAAGAAGACTTTAGAGGGTCTAGCCAAACTAGACCCTGGTCAAATAAAGTTGTATATTGAAATATATTCAAGTCATGCGTTAGTCCAAACCAATGCCCCAGCAGGTAGTCTACAGCAGTGTTCGAGCCAGTCTGAAATTTGATGTAACATCATGTTGACTGTTGGCGGCATGGCATTGCTCCCCCGGAAAATTTTGAAATCTTGACCCTTTGAGATACTATTTACTGCATTTTGAGGGGCAAATCTTGCTTGTAGACTAAGTATAAGTTGAATTTATAAAATTAATGACATCTCTTCCCACAGCGTTACACGCCAATTTTTCCCGTCAAAGTTTTTGTCCATCATAAGTGGCAAAATTCTGTCAAATGATGGAAAGACGGACACTAGCTAGATCACTGAAATCAGCACAGGTCCCAGTAAGAGCTCTGTCATGTATGTTTTCGTGATTTTAGGTTATGACTTGAATCTAGGTTAATATTTGGCTGCTGCATTGGTCACCTTAAGAAACACCAGTAGAAATAATAAGCACACTATTTGCCCCCACAGATTGAGTCCCTGAAAGACCTTTCTCCCAACAATGCTTCAGCCACATTTCCAAACCAATGCCCAAGCGGGTAGCCTGCAGGCTGTTCTTTTACCTTTGATATGCTCTCAATTTGCACTGGTCCCAGCAAGTGCATTGTCAATATGTGTTTTCACAATTACTAATGTAGGGCTCGAAATACAGGGTGCATATACAGTTTTTTTTAGCAGTCGCCTAATGAAACAAAGTAAAGATCAGGCAAAGATCACATCAAACATCAGTAGAAATAATAAGCACACTATTTGCCCCCACAGATTCAGTCCCTGAAGGACCACCTGGGTTTGCGGAAGGAGATCGCTCGCCGTGCGGAGGCGACGGCCGCCGAGATGAGACAGAAACTCCGGGGCGTGGAGGAGGATCTGGACGACCAACGGGACGACCAGAAATCCATCAGCTCTGGTTTGTTTGTTTGTTTGTTTATTTTCTTTATGTAGGTGGACAGTCTCTCTCTCACTGTCAAACTACATGTACATGTACTTGTTCCAGACACGAAACACACAAACTCATGATAAAGGCACTCAAAACAATACTTCCATTCCAAGAAGTAAAGTCAACACAGAAAAAACCTCATTTGGGAGTCCTCTCTCCTCATACCTTTGATATCAATCCCTGCAAAAATAAGCGAGAGAATAGCCATTGTAGGTGATACATAACAGGAATATAATTATTGACTGTATGTTCAAAGTTTAAACTTTTGTTCCAACACAAGGATTGTTCTTACCTACGAGCTTTCCACCAGTCACTCTGGTCTTCCTCAGTAGACTGACCCAGTGAGACACTGGGTCAACAATGTCGGCCCCCGTTGAAGGGTGATGATGCCCCTGATGTGAATAGTCTCTTTCACTCCTCTCAGGAAGTAGTCTTATTCGGTGTCCAGTGTTCTTACAGTGTCCAGCAAAACAGAATGTCTACTAGTTGATTGTCCTCTGTATAAGTGCTGACAGTATGAATTGACAGTATGTTGTGCACTACTCTTCCAGACTTGACCAGACAGTACAAGACCATGCAGACAGAGCTGGGTTTACGGATTCACACGCTGGAGACGGAAGTCACGCGGCTCCGACAACAGCTCGCCAACACGGAGGCAGAACTACGGGAGACCAAGATCGAGAAGGAGAGAATCACGCGAGAAAAGGACAGGACTATTGAGGAGCTGAGGATGAAAATCGACAGTATGGAGATTTCCTATGACGGGATCGTACACGTACGTTTGTTTTTTTTAATTTTATTTTTCTTCATCACATCATTTTGTTTGTTTATTCGTTTTCAAAATTGAAACAGGAAATTAGCATAATATAATATAATAATACAATGTCTCCAAGCTTTGTACACCTTTCCAAAGAAACTGCATTTCTATTATAAGCATCCAATTTTTTTCTGGGCTATTTCAAACGGAGTATCAGTTCAGAAACGAACTGAAACAAAGTATGAAATGGGTTATACTATATAAAATGTTTCTAAGAAACAGCACAAAATGTGTCTAAGAAACAACACAAATTAGAAATGTTGAAAGATAGCAAGGTTTGCTGGTCTTTTTTTCAGGATGCGTTGGACAACCTTCTGCACAAAATGGACGATGCCAAGCAGAAATGGGAGAAGCAGGCCACCCAGATTCAACTCAGGCACAAACACCTGCTGCTGGAGTTTGGCCTCAACCCCCTGGACATATAGTGCCTCCTATCAGTTTGTGACAGTACTGCAGTACATGCAAGGCAGAAAATTGTACCTTCTGCATGCTGAAACAGTTTTAAGTGTGTACAGTGGAAATTTCTTCCCAAACTGGCTTTCTATTATGCAGGGCAATGAAGGCTTATGCAAAAGCTGATAATATGTGCAAACTATGCAATGAAACTTGAGATTTTAGTGTAATAGCAAACTTAACTTTTTTAACAGTGAAGTACAAAATGTAGACCCGGACATTCCAGTTTTAGCTGTTTTTTCAAGCTGACTTTTTCCTGCATACATGTATGTACCCTGGGTGCCAGCCAAGTTTACAGGCCACTAACCGTTTTTTTCGGCAGCCAGGGTACTTCGCCCGCATAGGAGTATATCGGCCCTCCAACTCGTTTGGAGGGCGGCCAAACTCCCCCCGGGCTAGACTCCCCCGTAGCAGTAATTTAGACCGGCGGGCGAAAGGCTCTTGCCGCCCGAAGAACGAGTTAGGCACCCAGGGTAACATGTATGCCCATAACTAAGCAAACTCAGCAAACAGAACTACATTGTAGAAGGCTAAAGACAGCCAATAGTGTCTTCCTTGTGTCATCAGAACAAAATTTGACTTCCCAGATAGGACTTATGTTTTCTTGCAAGAATTCAACTAGAATATTTTGTACAGTGCTTGTGGAGTATACATGTATATTTTGTCTTCCATTTGACAATATTTTCGAGTCATGATACTAGTAGTTTTACTTTAGACTGTTGCTGTCTTCCATTTCAAAAGAACACAGTTGTTACAGTTTACATTTGCTGTGTATGTTGCAAAGATGATTTCAGAGCTTTTGTATTATACTATTTTTATGATATTGTAGAAGTCTGAATAAAGTTTGTTAAAGCTATGTACATGTATATGCCTTGTACATACATGTTAAACAGGCGACACTATAATTCCGGACAGACACTCTAATTCCGGACTACCTCTCACTTTTCAAGTATAGTTTGTCCTGGACAATTGACATTCCACATGGTGATGTAGAAGATGACAACAACTATGTAGATAACAGTGATAGTTCCCTAGGGATCATGTTATTTCTGCAGATTTCTGCAGAAATCTGCAGAATTCTGCGCAGAATTCTGCACCCCGCGCAGA